TCCATCATGAATCTGATCACCCCTCCCGAACCTGGGGGCTTCAAGCAGTGTGTCTGCTCCAAGTCCTGCTCCCGGCCTGTTCCAAACTGCTTCCGGTTTTGAAGGTGGTTTTGGTTCTATCTGCCGCCTGACATTTGGGAATTGAACTAGGATCCCATAGCTTTGGAGGTCCTCCACCCATGGGGAGCTGGGCATTTGCAAATCGTAATAGGATTTATTAATAATAATAATCCTAATAGCATTTGTTAAGTGCTTGCTCTCTGCTGGTCACCACCCAGTTTGTATATTACTTCATTTAATGCTCACACTATCCTTAGGAGGTAGACACCAGGATTATTGCTATTTGAGAGAAGAGGAGACTTTGGCTTAGAAAGGTTGATTCATCCAAGATCACATAGCTCGTAAGTGGCAGAGACAGAATTAGAACCTAGGTATTGGGTGTCAGAACCCATGTTTTTAACCCCTGAGACCCTCTGGTGCTTGGGGAAGTAGGCTGGTGCCAGTGAAGCCCTGTCAGCAAGTTGCCCAGGTGCTCACCTCAGGATGGGGAGGCAGGAAGGCAGTGACTGGTGAGACCTGCACCCACCTCACAGCTCCTCTGTTGCCCACAGCGTGCCAAGCTGGAGGCTGCCATTGCTGAGGCTGAGGACCGTGGGGAGATGGCACTCAAGGATGCACGTGCCAAGCAGGAGGAACTGGAGGCTGCCCTGCAGCGAGCCAGGCAGGACATGGCCCGGCAGCTCCGGGAGTACCAGGAGCTCATGAACATCAAGCTGGCCTTGGACCTCGAGATTGCCACCTACCGCAAGCTGCTGGAGGGCGAGGAGGGCCGGTGAGGTCACAGAAGCTGAGAAAGGGATCCTTCTGGGGCTCAGGAGGGCCTGGGGCTTGACATTTATCCATCGACAAGCATGTCCTATGCACCCTCTTATGCAGGGCACTGGAGGTGGGAGTGCAGGGGGTACAGCTGAGGCCCATTTCTTTGCCCCTGAGATGACCTAGAAGGAAAGACCATGTGGTGTAAAGCTCATTGGAAAAGTTGAAATAATGACTTCATGTGGGTGGCCATTAGCAGGGCCATCTTATTTGATCCTTAGAACACATTCAGGTAAACAGGTCAGGTATTGTTAATACAGAGAGAAGCTGTGGTTCAGTTTTATTAACTGAGGGGACAGGGTTGGTGTGCAGTCAAGCTCTGCGGATTCCTGCTTTAAGCATCTTCTATAACCCCAGGCTGCTTCTCACTATGTAAAGTGCTAAGTCAGGTGGTATTGACTAATGTGCTGGAAGAGTTAATTTCTCCCGTCCCCAGAGATATTTGCATACTTATCTGCAGCCTGAGAGGGGGCTGGGAGGGGTTGGTCTATTTATTTATTTATTTTAATTTTTATTGATTCCAGAGAGGAAGGGAGAAGAAGAGAGAAAATCATTGATTGGCTGCCTCCTGCATGCCCCACACTGGGAATCAAGCCCCCAACCCAGATATGTGCCCTGACCGGGAATGGAACCATGACCTCCTGGTTCATAGGTCAATACTCAATCACTGAACCATGCCAGCTGGGCTGGGCTGGGTTAGTCTTATAGGGAATTCTTCATGAAATACATGGAATATATGTCCATGAAATTGGGCCTTCCTTCTCACCTTGATGGGTTGGTTGATTCATTCAGTCACTAGATAGGCTTTATAGTATGTCTTGGGGGAAGGTCAGGATTTGAAGTTGGTGAGAGGGAACAGTGTAAGCAAAGCCCTGGAAGTAGAACTCATCATGGCTTGGCCTACAGAGATAGGTAATATGTAAAACAAGTTCCTTCGGGGAACTTGCAGAGGGGTAGAGGAGACAAAACACCTGCAAAGGAAGCACTCAGAGACTAGTAACTTGGACTTGTAAAATGCTGAGTTTACAAAGGGCCTTTCCTTTTCTGAGCGTTATTCCGGAGGGTGGGGAGAGAAGATGGGGAATGAATGGAGTAGAGAGGAAGGAGGTGAGGTGGGTGACCTCTCTCCACCTCTTGGGGACATGGAGATAGACACCTTATTTTTTATCCCTTAATCCAGGGTGGGGAACCTTTTTTCTGTGAAGGGCCATTTGGATGTTTATAACATCATTCATGGGCCAGAAAAATTATGAACTTAAAAATTAGTCTGCTATAATTGGTCAAACATTTAATTAACTCACCCCAATGCCTTGGCAGGGCCAGACCAAATGATTTCACAGGCCTTATATGGCCCGTGGGCCACCATTCCCCACCCCATCTTAATCCCTCAGCCCTTCCCAGGGGCAGGTCTAGGGTTAGAAACTCATCCACTCACCCAGTTTGGGGAGGCCTTTAGTTAAAAATACAAAGTTACAAATATAAAATTAGGCACAAAGCAAATATTTATTTAGGATCAGAAAAGGGTGACAGGGTGAAGAAAAGAAAAATCGCGCAGATCACTAGAGCCTGAGGTATTTAGGTTCCCCTTTGAGTTCTTTAGGAATTGAATGCTTATACGGAATTGTTGCCTGATTTCAACCATGCTTCCCCCTCACCTCCCAAATGCCAGTAACGCCCAGCACTGGCAGGGGCCATTTGAACAAGGGGCCTGGAAGCTTCCTAGCATACCCATCTCTTGCCCTTGGCCTTTGCTCTGCCCCCTGGACTTGGGGCTGCTGAGGCCAGGTGGCTCCCTCACTCCCTCCGCAAAGGTGAGGCGTCCCCTCCTCCCCGCAGAGTACACTCATTCCCAAGGCCAAGGGCTTGTGTGTCACAGAGCAAACACACCCAGCTGTCTTGGGCGGATTTTTAATTCCCAGTGCAAGACGGTGCTTCAGCTCCACTGGCTGCTTCAAGTCACCCCACCTGCCTCCCCATTCCCTCCTCAGTCCCTGTTGGAGCTGCATTCACTCAGTCAACAATACACTAATTATTTTAACACATAGTAATGACAACCTGCCAGGCCTCATGCAGGGGCTGGAGACACAGTAATCAGTCAGCTACAGCCCACTTTGAGGATTTTATGGTCTGGTTAGGGGAGGCAGCTGTCTATGTAATAATAAGAGGGGCTATCATTTACCTAATCCTGTGTGCCCAGAGCTTTAGGTACACTGTGTCATTGAACTCTGGCAAACCACCCTGTGAGGTTGGTACTGAGTGAGGCCCTATTTGTAGATGAGGAAATGGAGGCCCTAAGACATTCCCAAGATCACGTAGCCAGTAGGTACGAGGGCCTAAGTGAACCCTGCCCCCCACTCCTCGCTCATTTTGCAGGAAGGTTGAAGGAAGGCTGGAAGTGTGGGGCAGAGGACAGAATACCAGTCTTGTGTGGGGCCTGGACGGAGGGGCCTGGGAGTGCCTCCTCCAGGGCTGAGGGAAGGGCTACTCTCACATGTCTCTCCTCTGCCCCCAGGTTGACCGGAGATGGAGTGGGAGCCCTAAATATCTGTAAGTCCTTGGCTTCAGCCCACCCCTTGTGCTCTCCAGACTGGGTGGGGCCTATAGGATGGCATGTGGGCCTGAGGGCCGGGCCTTGTGGGGATCTGGAGCCTGCCTCCTTCCCTTCAGTAGCTTCAAGCAGGTGCCCTAGAGCTGCCTCAGCAGCCCAGGGAAGCCTTGCAGGGGGCACCCCACCCCGCACTGTCCGAGGCTCCTTCTGGGTTGGCCCATGGTGGGTAGGGTGGGAAAGGGAGGTGATGGTGGAGGGGGGACAAGGGGCAGCCCAGCAGGAGGGTGGGTGGAGTGAAAGGATGGTCCCTGGGTGGTGGGCCCATGCTGACTGAGTCCTCTCTCTTCTTTCCCAGCTGTGATGAATACCACCGGTGGTGGCGGCAGCAGCGGGCTGACCTACAGGGGAACCATTGGTGGCAGCGGGCTGGCCTTTGGGGGGACCATGGGCAGCAATGCCCTGAGATTCTCAGGTGGAACCCAAAAGGCCTATTCCATGAGGACCACATCTGGCACTCGCAGGAGTGTCCTCAACTGAGCCCCAGGTGTGGGGACACCCATATCCCTTCTCCTCAGAGTCATAAGAGATTCCCACCCTGGTCCCATCCCTGGCCCCAAGACTGCAAAGCTGTCTACAGAATGATGTGAGAACAGTTTCCAATAAACAGTCTCTTTCTGAGCCTGGGTGAGCCCATGGCCAGCACTTGGTATCCTGGCTGCATTTGGCTGGCAGAGAAGGGGGTGAGGAGGGAGGAGCCCTCGAGAGGGTCTGCTCTGGTAACTGGAAGCCTCTCGTGCAGGAGAATGGGGGTGCTGCTCTAAGGAACTTGGCTCTTATGGAGTGTGAGGCCTTGGCCCTCTCCCAGGGCTGGGCCAGTTCCAACTCTTCTCCTGAAGAAGCCCAAAGACACCTCAGGGAAGTTCTGGCTCTGCCAGGAAGGGGTCAGCCGAGTCCTCCACTGCTGAGGGTGGGGCCGTGTGCCCCTCCCCCCTGCACTTGCTGCCAGCGGACATGCCTCAGGCTGTTTCTGGCTGGAACAGCCAACTCTCAGACTGGTTGCCCTCAGCCCTTCCTGGTGCTTTGTCTGCCAGGCCCTCGACTGTGTGTGTTTGGGTCTAGGATTCTATGGGGGGCAGGTAGGGTGGGGGGGGTCGGGGGCACGGGTAAGGTGAGGAGGCCAACAGAGTCTGGGTCCCTGGTAGTGGCTCTGTGCCCAAGTCAGTGGGGTGAGGGATGGTCTGTGTATTGAACCCCCGAGGGTGCATCTGTGTTAAGTCTGTGCTTGATGGGGCATCTGTGTGTCAGGTCTCTGACTCGGGGTCTGTGCAACTGTGAGTGTGGGGTGTCTTTTTGGCCTGTGCTTGGGACATCCATCCAGGATGGACAGCAGCACATCGATGGGTAGTGGGGAGGAGGTGGGAGGTCTCTCTGAGACCCTCTAGGAGTGGTGGTGGTGGTATGTGTGTGGGATGGGGTCTACCCAGGGAGTGTTGGTTTATGGGGGAAGGGGAAGTCTGTATATCCGATCCCATGGTCAGGAACTTTACCATGTTGAGGTGGGGGCATCTTGGGGGAGTGGAGGGAGTGGATCATGGGTGTCTCAGCAGCATGGGGTCCCACGCAAGGTGTCATGGGAGCCAGCACCCCATCCTTGCTAAAGCTCCTCCCTGTTGCCCTTCTCACTTCTCTTCCAGCTCCTCTGTGTGCCTGGGTTTGGGGGCTGCCAGCCGATGCCCCTGCACCCTTCAGGATGTAGGAGTGTGGCACCCTGGGTAGAGTGCCCCAGAGACAGCCCGCCCTGCCTCTCTGGCTGAGAACAACTTCCCTGTTGCCTCCATTGGGGGTGAAAACCGGGTGGGAAGCCCACATGTGGAAGCACAGATCACAGGGAGTCTCCAGCCATTACTTATGACCCCTGAGCTTTATTGGAAACATGGAGACCAAGCATGAGGGAAAGGGAGCGAGAGCCCAGGCAGCCGAAGAAAGCTGTTCCCTGGGAGATGCACCTCAGCCATTGTGCACAGGTTTAGAGGGCAGGGGAGGCACAGCACCAGCAGCACTTTCACACCAGACCCGCCCCAGGGCCAACCCACCCCTTAGAAGCCACAGGAGTCCCAGTTCCCAGGGCAGCCAGTCAGGACTGGACCTTTGCCCAGGGTTTTGAGAAAACCAGTCATTCAGACTTTTTGGGGAGAATTACCAAGACACACCAGCACGGAGAGCTGACCTCCCTGGAAAAAATGAAGAGACAAGCAGTGGGGGGTAGGAGGTGCGAGAAATTAAGGCAGCAGTGTGGACAGGGCAGGGATGCTTCCCGAAGCCCTTCCAGCTCAAGTCCAGGCTCTGCCAGAGCGCCGGGCTGGGGCTGGGGCCGGCGGCTGGAGTTGGGCCGGTTCGGTTCGTTTGCAGAGGCGTGTGTGTACAAAGACTGAGGCACTAGGCAAACCGCACCAGGCGGCCACTGCCACAGCTCTGCCCGCAGGGCGCGCACATTCCAGTGTTCACTGCTAGGTTCCCGCTGCAGGGGGCGCTGCAGGCGCTGCCGGTTACGGGCCTGGAGCCGGATACGCAGAGGTCCCCGCAGACAACGCCACCCCGGGAGCTGCTGACACCTGCGGGTGGAGGACAGGGCTTAGTCCCTGTGCCAGATGGTGGCCAGCGGTCCTGCTTGCTGACCAGAGCCCACTTCTCTTGTTCAGAGGCTCCCTCCCGCCCCGCCCCCCGCCCCTCATTCTTATCCCTGGCTTCTGCCTCACACCTGGGCACTCCTGCAGTCTAACCTCAAGGATGGATCCTTGATAAACTGTTAGCCCAGGCCCCTCTATCAGCAGAAATAGCTACTAAAGTGATCTCAATCATTCACTGCCGCATTCCTCTCCTTCCTTCCAGGGTCTTCAAATTGCGGTTGTATATTTGTAAATAAAGTTTTATTGGAACCCAGCCAGACCTATTTATTAAGTATTGCTTATGGCTGTGGTTACTTTCACATTATAATGACAGATTTGAGTAGTTGAGACAGAAACTGCATGGCCCTCCATCTAAAATATTTACTATGTGGTCCTTTAAGAAAAAGTCTGCCCTACAGGAACCCCGAGTCCTTATATTGGAACCCACAGTATAGATTACTTACAGACATTTATAGCGCCAATCCCTTCACACAACCTGTGGGGAGAGCAAAGAGACAAAAACTAATTGGGGAGAGCAAAGCTTGCAAATTCCCTTCTCAAGTAATCTTGATGCAAATTCGATGAAAGCAACAGCAAACATGTTCCTGGCTCTAAGCACAGTTTGGGGAGATTGAAGAGGCATCCTTCCCACAGGTGTGAGCCTCACCTCTGCTCCTCGCCCTCCAGCAGGCGCCTGTAGGTGGCGATCTCGATGTCCAGGCCCAGCTTGGAGTTCATCACCTCCTGGTACTCCTTGAGCAGGCAGGCCATGTCCTGCTTGGCCTTCTGCAGGGCGGCCTCCAGCTCGGCCAGCTTGCAGCGGGCATCACTGATGGCTGTCTCGCCCTGCTCCTCCGACTGCTTCACGGCGACCTCCAGCTTGGTGTTCTGGGAGGCACGGGGTGGGGTGAGGGTGGGGGGTTTACTAAGGCTCCTGTTCTGGATTTGGGGTCAGAGGCCAGGCATCCAATGACCATTGACTGTCAGAGGAAGAAGGGGCCTCACCCATTTGGGTTGCAAATTAATGCTGCCAGGAAGGTTGGCACAGTGTCTTTAATTTTAGAAATTTAACACAAAAATCCAAATTCCTGGCTTCTCTTGAAAAAATATCTAAGGCTCTGGGCCCTCTGGCCCTGCATTTCCATGAGGCCTGCCTCAGTTGGATCTGATTAGCTCTATCCTTTGTGCTTTTTAGTTTACCACACTCCAGTGCTTTCAGCACAGCCTAATCCTCGCATTTACTAACCTCTGGGACATCTGAGTGTGTGATCGCTGACCTAGACCAATGGGCCACAGAGGTGAAATGGTTTACCCCAAATCATGTGGTAATTAGAGGCAGGGCTGGTTTGAGAGCCCCAGTTACCTGCCCCTCAGACCAGTGCTATTTCTTCTGCCCCTTTATGTCCCTAAGACCAAGAGAATCCTGGTCATTCCATTCCCCTTCATACTGCTCCCCCCACCCCGATACTGTCCCTTCTCATCTCCATTCAGTGGAATGGAGAGCATTTTCCATGGAAGAGACTCATCTAATGTGTGCTGTTTGCTCCTTTTCCCACACTTTGGCAAGGTGTCAACCCTGAGTGGCCCTGCTGTGGGCTTAACTCCTTCTCTTGCTACCCTGAGGGGTAGGCCAGGCTCCTGTACCTGGCACTTGGCGTTCTCAACCTCGGCGGTCAGCCTCTGGATCATGCGGGTCAGCTCATTGATCTCCTCCTTGGTGCGGCGCAGGGTCTCCCCGTGACGGATCACTGTGGCCTTCATCTCCTCGCACTGGGGGGAAGCAGAGATGCTCCTGAGACACGGATATGTCATTCCACTGAGCTCCACAGCTTGCACATTGGCCACCCAAGCTGCCTGCCCTTCCCTTGCCCTTTTAGCATCCCTCCTGCTAGGGTGCTGGGAAGGGGGCACTGGGCACTCACCTTGCTGCGGTACCAGGACTCGGCCTCGGCCCGGCTGCGGCTGGCGATGTCGTCATACTGAGCCTTGATCTCGGCAATGACGCAGTCCATGTTCAGGTCCCGGCTGTTGTCCATCTTGACGACGACTGAGGTGTCTGAGATGTGGGCGTGGAGGACACGGATCTCCTGTGGGGTAGGGGAGTGGGAAGAGCTTCTTTGACCAGAGACCTGCGCTCGTGGTGTCCCCCTCATGGTCCTTCCCTGTTCCCTTCCTCTGCTTCCTCCAAGACTCACTGTCTGAAGGCCCAGTCTCCAAGATGCCCCCTCAACCTGAGGCCTCTAACTGCACCTCAGACCCAGAGTCCACGGCTGAGAGGAGCCCTGCTGCTCTGCTGTTCTGCGTTCCCTCTCACCTCCTCATACAGTCGCCGCAGGAAGTCAATCTCCTGGGTCAGGGCCTCCGCATTGGCCTCCAGGTCTGATTTGCGCAGGTAGGTGCAGTCCACGTCCTAAAGGGCAGCGAGTGGCACAGGAGTCTCACTGGGAAGACCACACAGAGCTCTTCCCACCAGGGAGGGCACCCTCCCTGCAGGCCCTCCTCAGCTGCTCAGCCCAGTGCCTGGTATCATGGCCTTGGTGACGTCCTTTATGCAGGTAGAGGGGTCAGGAGCAGGTTTGGGTAAGGGAGGGAGACCCTGAGGTTTCCAGGCACTTCCTCTGGTACCCACTAGGATGATGCCTCCAGGATCCACATCTTGTACCATCACTAAAACTTAGGATCTAGTGTAAAATGGGTCAATTCTACCGATGCCCTACCTATCTCTGCTCTGGAATCTCGTGGAAAGAAATATAGATCTCTTGTCAAAGAAGAGGTCTCAGGGATCAATTCTGCCTCTTTTAAGCCAGTGTGACTCAAGGCAAGACCCAGGACTTCTGTGCCTCAGTTTCCTCACAGTGACCCTGGCCTTCCTCATATGTAGGTGGTTGGAAGGACCTGGTGAGAGTCTCCACAATGGCACTTGTGCTGAGTCAAGTCTAAGAGGGGAGGCACAGCAGCACTGTTTACACCTTTCCCAACTGTGGCTGGTCTGAGGATTTACTCTAGCCTTAGTGTGCTTTTTCATTCACAAATGTTGATTGAGTGCCTACTCTCTGCCAGGCACAGGGCAGAAGGAGGTGGGGAGCCACTGGCCAGGTGGGAGTTACCACAGATAGAGGAGATTGCCCTGCCTGAAACAGGCGAGTGCCCTGGTGTCCAGGGCCACCCAGGGAGCATTAGGGCATTTGGGGAAAAGAATAGAGGAGAGGTTGGGCTATGTGATTCTAGGGGTGTCGCTCAGCCTCTGAATTACAGAAAGCTCCCTTCTGCCTCTGCCCTTGGTTCTGAGTTGTGGGAAGAGCATTCTGGGGTCACTCACCTTCTTTAGGACTACAAATTCATTCTCAGCAGTGGCCCTCAGTGCCACCTCCTCTTCATACCTGGGACAAAGAGCATAGGTTCAGTGTCTAAAGGTTCAATAGGCTGGGATTTGAAGAGGAAAAAAAAAAGTAAATTAGGGCCTACACAAACAGACTCCAGGAACTGGGTCATTTGGAGGTGATCATAGAATCAACGTATTGGACTAGAAAGGACCTTGTCCATCCCTTTCCTCTTGGTACTCAAACCAACCCCTGTCACCCAATGCTCTTACTGGTTCGGGAATTCTCACTCATGATGTGGGCCAGGGTGGGTGCCATGCACATCTTCCTAGGCCTTCTCTCTGCTTCTGGATTGTAACTCC